ACACACACACACACACACACACACACACACACACACACACACTGACAAACCAGTTCTCCAGGCACCAACATACTTTTTTTGTTTTGGTTTATTTTGTCTTTTAGCTCGGTCCTTCTGATCCGTCTCTCTGAAGCACCGACTCTCGTGTCCTCGTGTCTCAGCCCGTGTCATTGTTCCCTCACACGTCTGCTCAGCATTTTTCCCTCAGTGACACAGAGTGGAAACAACAAAAGGCCCTTTTCTGCAGAACACAGGAACTTTTGTTTCAAATTTAAAGAGACACTTTCTTTTTCCATGACTTTGGTTTTCAAGGAACAGTGGAACAGTTGAATAATTCACGTTTCCCACGCCCTCTGTGCTCAGACTGAACAAGTCCTCACATGTTTGAAAAGACAAAACTCTTTTTATGGCTGTGCTACATTTTATAAACCGAGCATTCAACTTGGGTTAGTGTCACGTACGGTATATGTTACGATTCCTCATTTAAGGGACTTGACCTTAAAATTTTAAAAACCGAAGAAATCACCAAATTCACTCAAGTGTCATTGCGGTCGCCTTTTAATTTATGGTTTAAGGGTCGCCCCCTGCTGGTCATTGGAGAAAACTCAGGTTTCAGACACTGACCTCATTTTCCGAACCTGGAGTCCATTTTTATATCCCGTCTGTGTCTCAAACAGGAGCTTTGGTGATCAGAGGTCAGAGGTCAAGGTCCCTGTCCCACTTGATCTCTGTGGAATGTCTTGAAGCAAATTCTTAAAATTTGGGAAAATCGTTTCTTGAGTTATGGCCAAAAAAGTGACTTTGACCTTTTGAGTTTGAGTTTGAGTCCAAGAGGATTCTTTCCTTCTTATTTATTTTGTCATCACTTCCTGGTGTGTGTGCCCGCCTTCCTTCGATCCTCGTTTCTCGCTGCATGAGCCGCTTGATCTCTCGCCAAGGAACCTAAAGATTCTCGATTAACGCAACGAGCTGCTGCACTGACCGGTTCTTCAGACGAGAAATAGGGCAACACCCCCGTCAAGTGACACTTCAACAATGCAATAAATGAATTATCGTTCATGCACGGACCCAAGTCGTTGTTTAAAAGCTCTAAACACTTAAATTCACCACGTTGTTTTACTCTGTTCATGTTTTTTCCACAACAGGAGATGACGTCTGTCACTTTATAGTGTTTAAGAAAACTGAAAACATGACACACAAACAGAGCAGTGAGGCTCTGTGGTTTTAACTCCGTTTGTTTCTGCTAATTTTCTAAATGTGAGTTGTATTTCAGAACAGTCTTGTTATACAAAGCTTCGTGGCAGCAGCTCTTCAGACATGGACAGATACTGCGTTAGTCTTTAATCCGTCCTCTAATCTTCTGTTGATGTGAAGCTGTATCTCCGTGATCAGCAGAGGGACTTCACAGCGAAGACTCTTTCTCGTGGCCTCAGATTGAATTTATTCTGCTGCTTCAACACAGTTGAGCTTCACCTGCTGGTTTCTGCCCTGAAGCATTTTTTACATTTTTCCATGAATGAATCCGTGCTTTTTTTTATTGGTGTCAATATTTACTTTTTCTTTCTGTTACGACATAAAATGTAAACTATGACAAAGTTTGATGTGAAAAATATTTAATACAAAATAGTTTTACTTTAATGGGTCAGGGCTGGGAGTAGAATGGATCTCAGTAGAGTTCATACCTCCGGTAATGAAACCACGTTTAACTTCACTAGATCCAGGTTTTTATTTGGATTTATCCCTAATTGATATTAGTTAATTAAGCTCTTTATTTCCACTCCTGCAGGTGATAGCCATAGTGATGGACATGCTCACAGACATCCAGATCCTGCAGGACCTGATGGACGCGGCCTCACGGCGCTCTGTGCCCGTCTACATCCTGTTGGATAACCAAGGGGTGCCACACTTCCTGGATATGTGCTCCAGGCTGCAGATTGGCTCACAGCACCTCCGGGTAAAATGATGAATGCGCAGCAGACGTGAAGCTAAAGAAAAACTTTGAACGGTTCAAAGGTTTCTGATTTGTTGTTATTAAGAAATAGATCAGAAACATGAGGCGAAGCATAACGATGATCTTGTTAGCAACTTTGCACACTTTGTGTTTTGCTCCACACACATTTTATAGCCTAGTAACCACTAGTAACACTTACTAACACAACTTCACATTAAAATGCACATTGGCAGAATAAATGATCAGAGTTCAGACATATGTCAGATAAAGTCAAAACAAAGTAGTGTCATTATCAAAGAGGTGACTCTGCACTTTATTCCTATAAATGACAAGAAGTTCATTTTAATTTCAGAATAAAATCCCCAAATTCATTAAAGGTCTTCAATGAGCTTTGAAGTAACAAGTATCTTCACATGAATCCTGTTTAAACATTTATATTTTATAACATTTACTGGTGCAAATAGGTTTAGCATCTCTTAATACTCAAGTTAAGAAATGTTTTTACATTTAAAGTCAACTTCCTGTCTTTGCTGCCTGTGTTTTCTGTGGCAGAACATCAGAACCAGAACGCTGCAGGGATTCGGGTTCTGCTTGTCGTTCGGCAGATTCCCGGGTTCCCTCGGTAAAAAGTACATGTTGGTGGACGGAGACAAAGTCGTGTTCGGCTCCTACAGGTGAGTGAGTGAGTGTGTGTGTGTGTGTGTGTGTGTGTGTGTGTGTGTGTGTGTGTAGAGCCCTTTGTTCTCTGACCCGTTACTGGTGAAGAGAATGTGTGTTTGAATTGTATTTGGTTAATTCTGAATCTAAGTGTGTGATTTCACTGAAGCTGCTCTGTTTAAGACTTGAAAGACAAAGGCAGGTAAGATTTGGTTCAATTAAAAACACAAACTGAGATAAATATCAAATACAATGAAAATAAACTCATACAATTATATTGAAAATAAAGAATAAAGTTGTAATTTAAGAAGGAAAAAGTCAGAATATCCTGAGAAGAAAGTTCTTCGTAGGCCACAGGTCATGTTGGAGGGGAATCAGAAGATCTGCCGCCTGCATTAAAATGCGGAATGTGAAGCATCTTGTTCGGTAAAGATCTCACAAAGAACACTAGAGCTCCACATCATCACAAGTGTTTGAAAAGAAACTATCTAATTCTCCAATCAGAACAAAGAGTCTCCTCTTTTGTGGAGGAGAAAATGTTTTGTCGTGGTCGACCTGGGGCGTCATAGTTTCACATGATTCAAGACTTTTAACCTCCTCTGTGATTCCTGCAATAGAGTGTCTGAGTCTCCAGGACCATATTTTGTGCCACTGTTGTGCTTATAAAGAAATAAATCATATTTTATTAAGACTGGATGCTTGTTGATGTCTAATAATTGTTTGAGGAATGATTTTCACGTGTGTGGTTTGTTGAATGGACCAGTGAGGATGTGATAAAGTTGATAACTGGCGTCTCTCTGTCTCAGTTTCTGCTGGTCTGCGTCTCGTATGGACCGAAACATGATCACTGTGATGACGGGACAAGTGGTTGACTTCTTCGACCAAGACTTCCGGGAACTGTACGCCATCTCTGAGAAGCTGGACCTCTACAAGGAGTTCCACGTCAGCCCGCCTGCTGCTAACGCCACCGCCACCATACGTTCCAAAGTGGGGCCCAAACGCCCTCCTTTACCTGCCACCACTTCCAGATTCCAGGTTACGTTGGGGGATTCAAGGAAAGATAAAATCGAGGTGCCTGCGCATAAATACTACAACCCCAAGTACTCGCTGGTGTTCGGGGACGCCATACGTCCAACTGGGTCTCTGCAGGAGCCGGGAACTAAGAGGGGGTCAATTCTGTCCAAGTTTCCTGATGAACTGGAGCAGGAGAAGCCACAAGTGACCAGCAGTGAGAAGATGGATCGGTTATCTCCGTTGTCAGAGGCCCCGAGTGAAATGTTCCAGAGACCCAAGGCAGGGGCGCAGGACAAGAAGGGGCAGCACACATTATTCACGAGATTGTTCAAGAAATCCTCCAGGAAGCTTTCGGTTAACAGCCTCGCAAACAGCACATGCCCATCACCCACAGGAAGCAACTGGACTGATGAGATGGAGGACAACTCCGAGGTGATTGTGAGGTCGTCCTCTAAATGGAGGAGAAAGAACGGTCAGAGGACCGAGTCCCAGCAAACAGTCAACTCTGCAAAGGACACTGAGAGTAAGTCAGTCAAAGTGGATTTGTCTAAAAATTGTTTCCCGACCTTTTAGCTCTTGCAGCTGAGTTCTCTTAAAGCCGAGTTCACGCTACTCGACTAAGTTCACGAGACGCGACTCGCTGTCTTGTGATCGGGAGTCAAGCTGGTCGGAGGTGAAACGCGACAGGGTGACACAGACTCAAATACGTCTGTGTCCCCCTGTCCCTCAGACCCATGATTATCGCTTGATTTCCCTGATTACAGATGTGTGTGGAAAATCAGGGGTCATCTCTCATGTAGCTTCCCCACCTGCATCACATCCTGATTGGCTGGAGTTATTGCCGACTCTGACTAGATTTTCCGCGGCGAGCGTCTCTGATCGTGTGTCTGAGGAGTTTGCACAGAGCGATCGGTCGCTGCTGATGTATCCGTGATTGGGGGCCTTTGTTGGCGATTTGCAAAACTTGTCTGCAGATGGCAAATCTGGCTGAAAATCACGTTGTGGGAACTCGACTTAAAGGGTTGAGAGAAACCATTAAAGGTTTTCTTTAATCCTGGAACATGAGTCACTTGTTGGCTTCTGTAAAAAAGTGGTGACAAAGCTTAACAAGTCGTATTTTAAATCATCACACACGTAGGAAACCCCTGATCTTATCCACCGCTTAACTTTGTATTCGATTATTTAAAAAAATAATTAAAATCCTCAATGAATCGTGATGACTTCCACGTCTGTCTCACGCCTCCAATCTCTCGTTTTAATTTTGTCCTTGTTGTGTTTTTCATCCAGGTCTTAACAGTCAGCTCAAAAAAAACAAGTGTAAAGTTTCCTGAGGTGAACCCGGCCACAGTCTCAACATGGAGCAGAACGGGACTTCATTGAAACTATCCTCATCTTTGATGTTGCAGTATTGAATTTTATCCGGTGCCTTCAAGAAAGAGCCAACACACGTGTAATTCATCAGGTGCTGCTTTTTATGTCTAATGCCAAATACAGATTCAAATATGCAAAGCATCATGGGAAATCTGTTGCCTGGTTGGGTTCAGAAAGATTTAATGAGATATTTCCTGGTGATGAGCTGCCTCTTGTTTGTTGTGAAACTTTGGGGAGCATTTTAGTGGTTGCACAATAGTTTTCTTCAGCGGTTGGAATGTAAAAGTTTGTCTGAGTTTACAAATTAAACTAATTGAGATTTCTTTGACACTGTGATTATTTTTTTTATCATCAATTAGTATTAATTATGTTTTTCTGTGTTGTCATTGAGCTGCACTAAATCGTGCGTTAAATAGTTTCAGAAGATAAAAACCCAATAAAGGCCGATGAGATAAATTAAAATACTTGGATTGTTCAATGCAAACATTTAAAAATATTAAAATTGGAGATGGACTGGCTGTTTCATAACTAGTCATAAACATCACTTTGACTGCAGCTCAACCTGGTGGTGGCAGACAGTATTACAATTTCACAACATTTAAGACGGAAATGTAATCACTGCAGTGCTTAATCTCACCACTAGCTGACGCTCTTGTCTGCTGCTCTTCTCTGGGTCTTTGCTCACAGGTATGAGAGGAACCAGAGGCCTGATGGGAAGTCAGGGTTGAGCTCAGCGTAGAGGGGGAGGTGATGTCGGAGGATGTGCAAGTGGGATGTGGTGCAACACAGAAACAGGAAGTCAGGGCTGCAGCAGGAAGTCACATTCTCGCACTAATTTACCGATGAGTTTAACCGAAACACATCGGGCCTGAAAATATCTTGGTTTTTTTTGTGATGGTTGAATCTTAATTTTCCTTCCAAAGCAACGTAACTATTTTAAATCAGCTGTAAATTTAAATTCTTCCTGTTCAGGTCATCAACACAAAAGAATTCGGGGTTTGATCTTGTTAGAGACATTACCTTGCTGTAAGATTACGTAAACACCAACCACAGGATACAGATTTTTTACTAGATTATTAGTAGTAGTAGCAGCAGTAGAAGTAGTATTATTATGGCAGGCAGTACACATCAGATCGCTTTGGAATCTGTTTAGCTGTTGCAGTTGTCAAATAAAGTCAAGGACAAACAAGCTGAACTTGGATATTTTTTCTTAAATCCTATTTAAGAAAGTTTTGTTCACAGCCACTTGTGGAAACTTTATCGTGAAAGGTTTTGTGGTTTCTAAAAGATGGTGGTTGGTAAAAAGGTCCTTTTCTACGGCGGCCGAGAGTTCAACGCTCTGCAAAGGAACAACATGCAAATAGAAAAAAATATAAGAGCAAATTAAGAAAATGTTTTCATCAATTTGACGACATGTGTGCTGCAAAAAGTCACAACACATGCAAATGAAAAAGTTCCATCAGCACTGACGAGCAGCAGACGTCTCTTACTTCACAAAGCATTGAACTACAGCAGGATCATCACTTTTCTGGGTCACACAGAAACAGTGAATATGAGGAAGTGAGGTGTGGTCTCATGGTTTCGAGGTTTGTTGAAGTGAAAACACAGCTGCAGGTTTACTTCAAACACAACATGTCAACACACACCTGAGAGCGTTTTTATTAAATAATTATTTCATGAGAACATAACACAAACAATAATTACAAAGTAGATTTTGCAGAAGTTACAAAATGAAGTACAGCTACAATTCGATGTAATGTGTGCTACACTTATTGCACTAGGGAATATAAGAAGAAGATAAATCCCGTGTTACGCTATAAAGTATCACAAATTTTGAAAATGCATGAAGCTATTTCTGCACAACTGAAGCATTTCATACACAAGTATCTTCACAAAACCTGGCGAAACCACGTAATGAAACCTTAAATGACTCGATGGACAAAAGCAAAGCTGTAAGATTTCTTAAAATAATGGTTTTGTTTGTCATTTTTAAGTTTTCTGGGAGCTGTGAAGAAGCTGAGAACACGACCAACTCTTGGCTTTTTTTTATAGTATTCACAGAAACATCAGCCAAATACTAAAACATCTTCTCATGTTACAAACTCCACAACACATTCCAGCAAAGTGTCCGGTCTGTTCAGTCTCTCTGTGGCTTGTCTGGTTGATGATGAGAGCAATGTGCATGAGTCAGTTTGTCACCTTTGACACTGAAAACCACCAACTGCAATAAAGAGAAGTGGAAAGAGAAGTCCCTCTTTTAGCCTGAATGACCACCGTCTGTGTCGCTCTGTCTCCAGCGTTGTCGCTCAGCTGTGTTTAAAGTGTTTAAAACAACTGACAGGGGTCAGAGTCCCACTCTGGTGCAGTTCTGTAAGTGTCCACGGGGGGCGGTAGACGGCTCAGTCCTGAGGCGCTTGGTTTATCACCTTCTTCTTACGGACGGAGACCAAGTCGTAGAACGGATCTTTGGTGATACTCGCTCTGTTTGAAGTAAAAATAAAAGTCAGTATGACGTACTCACTATTTGCACAGAAAATAACTTATTTACGTTTAAGGACAAACGAAAATAAGATCAAGACAAAAGAAATGTTCACATCAGTCAATATCAATAATGATCAGAGTAAACGTCACGTTATTATTTCTTTAAAGCTTGAAGACAAACACTGAATGAAAAGCTCAATGTTTTACAAATCACATCGATATCTACTGGACTTTTGTTGTAATGCTAATGATGAAAACGTTATTGTGAAATTAACTGATAATGTTTTATCGTCAACGCAAACCTCAGTGTACTTATCTAGCATCAAATGGCAGACGGAGAATGAATAGCTAGCTTGTGAACAAAGTGGAGAAACTAAAGAACCAGGTACTACGGACATTTCCTTCTGCTCTTCTGACTGGACTGATTCAAACGAACAGTTTATGTTCAAAGCAGACGTAATATCTGTTATTACAAAAACTGAACATGTACTTTTTAAAACCCATATTGTTATGTTACTATACCCTGAGTTATAGTCCCAGCACGGCCAACTAGTGGCGAGCACATGAACACCACATTCTATGTAGCACAACACTTTACTCTACAACACGAGAACTCATCCACAACAAGTGGATGTGGTCTCAAGCAGAACAGACCACACCTGACTTCACCCAGCTGTGATGTTGGGTGTGGACAGATGTTTACCCGATTTTTTCGAAACCACAGAGCTGAGAACGAGTGTTTCCTCGTGTAGACTCTAATAACTGATCAAGACATGAACCTTCTCCTCCTCACAATCACACAAGGCTGCAGATGTGTGTCGGGACAAATGAGCAGATTCTCACGGGTGTAAGCGTGTTTCCTAATTTGTCGAGTTACGCTCATGCTGCTGTTTGTGTGCACGTTTGCACGATCGTGTACAACGTGTGTGTGGTGTGACCTTATGGCCTCGATCCAGGAGTCTCTCTCCTCGGCGCTGGCGGCACAGATGGTGTACGACTGATGTTTCCCCTCCACCACTCGTCCGTCCGTCTCCGTTTTACAGGCTTTGATCTTCTGCCCTCGGCTGTTGGGGTTGTACAGCTCCAGACAGTACTGGACGACACGGGGATCAAAGTGTATACATCTCTTTAGTGATCTTTCAAATACGTGTTACATACATACAAAATGCCCATATTCAGTTTCATTGAATTATATTTTTCTAACACATCTGACAGGAACCACGGACTGTACGTAAAGGTGGATGATGCCTATTCACTTCCTTGAAGCCAAAATATCCTGGATATGGACGCTGCCATCTTGTTTTTTGCACAGGTTTAAGACCTATGCTGCAGCAAGCCACTAGGGGCGATGCTGATGATTTTTGGCTTCACTTTTGGGGAGCTGTCATGTCGTCCATCTTAATTTACAGTCCATGGCAGGAACTCACCGGTTTGCGAGGATATGGCACTTCCCTCACACACAGGTTCTCCAGAGGGATGATGCCTCTGGGCTCTTTATCCTGCAGACAGATTAAAAAGAGATGGAGTGAGTCAGGAGGGAAAGAAGGAAGAGCTGAGGGTAAAAATATCAGTTGCGTCAAGAAAAGAAGAGAAGCAGCAGAGCCAGGGGGTCCGAGGACAGACTGTTTAGATCCTTGAGGTAAATTCGTGAAATCAAGTTTAATCAAGTCTTGTATGTCTCCTCCAACCAGACGCCAGACAAGTGGTTTAAATGAGAAGAAATTCCCTCAAAGCAGACCTGACGTATGTTCTAGAGGAATAAATCCATCTTTGGATAGATAAAAAAAACTATACACACAATCCCCCTTGGAACTTGCGACGCCACCGTGACCTTGACCTTTGACCTTTAAATTCCAAATTCATATCAGCTCACCTGTGAGTCCAAGTGAACCTTTCTACCAAATCGAAAGAAATTCCCTCAATGTATTGTTGAGATATCGTGTTCACAAGGCGACACATGAGGTCATAGTGACCTTAATGTTTACACTCTGACAACCACATTTTAACCCATTCATCCTCGAGTCCAACTGAAAGTTTTATACCAAACTTGAAGATGTTCCCTCAAGTTATTGTGAACAATCGTGTTCACGAGAACCCGAAAACGTCACGCGTGAGGCCACTGGGTGTCGCCAACGCACGCTAAAAGAGTGGCTGGTAGAAGCTGAGAGACTTTCAGATGCTGTGGATGAAGGTGAATTAAGAGGAGCAGCCTTACAGTCGTGTACTCAAAGTAGTAGAGGCAGCTGTCGGTCAGGATGAACCATCGCCGCTTCCACGTCTTCACTCGGCCTCCTGGTGACACAGCCGGGGACCATTTTAGTTTTTTCAGTGGAACTAACAAACTTTCAAAAACTGCGTCATTTCACAACAGATGAAACCAAAATACACATTTGAGAATTAAATGAAACATCTGTATTTACCAACCACATGACACTGTGAGGGTACATATATATATATATATATATATATATATATATATATATATATATATATATATAAATATAAATACTGAGCACTGTTGGGTTAGTTTCTCAGTACTTCCTCTGTAGTTTCCTGTTTTTAAACCTTATTCTGCAGCTTAGATGTAATGCAGCACATCTCTTGTCTTGTGGAGCTCAGGGTTTGAATTTGTAGTTTGATGGGTTGAAGATTGTGAGGTGGTTTGTGTAATAACCCATTCAAATGTATTTAGGAGAGATGTTAGAGATGTTACCGAGTTTTAAAAGCCAGCCTTCTCTGTCGGGGTTGAAGAAAGTGTGAGTCAGATCATTCCCATCGTCCTCTGGGATTTTGAAGGGTTCGTTGTGAATGCTCTCGTACAGTTTCTGATTGGAAAATGTTAAAATATCAGAAATTTAAAATGTGAGCAAAAGCCTTGATACCAATCGGAGGAAACAAAAAGTTGAAATACGTCAGAACAAGAGGGATTCAAACCATTTACGTCTTATTTCAGAGTGACACTGAATCAGCTGTGAGAGTGATACAGATCAAACACCAGCTCACAGACACTGATGTTAAATTACACTATGTAATTATTCTTCATTGATAACAAATATATTATTAAAATAAAAAAAAATTCAGTTTGCATATCTGTACTTTTTCAACATTCTCCGCACGTTTGAACAAGACTGTGATAATACTGATCATTTAAAAGTGCTAATACTCAAATTCCCAAGAGTAAAAAAGAACATGACAGATTCCAGAAGCTGAAATATCAGCGGCGTTCTCACCGACAGCAGATCGTTGGGGAGATCCTCCCCGTTGTTGATGCCTCTGTTCATGGAGATGAAACGCTCCAGGGTGGTCTTGTCCTTCACGTTGGGGTTGTGGAGGCTGGTGTTGAGCATGATTATGGCAAAGGACAGGATGTAGCACGTGTCTGGTGTTGTACAGGATTCACACAGACACACACACACACAGAGTAAGAGGATGTCAAATATATTATTACATAATTATGATGCTTCACTTTAGTTCACGTGAGAGTCAGTAAAGAGGAGACAAATCTGGAGAGGAAATAAGAGTTGACAAAAGATTTTGCGTTCAGTTAAACAAACACGCACACGGACAGTCTAGAGAGGAAGTGGACACGTGCACTCACCAGTCGACTGGAAGACGTGAGTGTTGCAGTCGCAGTAGCGTGTGGCGAAGGCCTCCATCATGCGGTCGATCTTCTGGGCTTCACCAGGCAGACGGAAGCTCCACAGAAACTGTCTGTCATGTGCAAACCACAACACAAGTCCTGTTTATTGAAGTGTTCGACACGAGTGTAGATACTCAACACATCTGGAGAGTGAGAGAGAGTGAGTGTGTGTGTGTGTGTGTGTGTGTGTGTGTGTGTGTCCTGGAGCTGCACAATATATTTTCATTGATTTAACTCTGGACAGTATCCTATGATGTTACCGTCTTTATAGAAATAGTGAAGGATGTTTTCTCACATGTTGTTTCGTGAATTGTTTTTGTGTTCTGTCGAATGATGTTTGTTGTGCTTTGGTCTCTAAACTTAAAAAAAACCAAAAGAATATAATGGAAAACAATAGAAACACTTACAGTTTCTAATTTCCAGGGTTTAGTGTAGAATTACTCTGATCATAAATATATTTTTTAAAACTAATAATAATCATAAATGTCACTTTTCCTCTTAGTGATTAAGTATAGGCCGCTTTATTTGACGTGAGAATCTATCGATAGCCTCCAGATGTTTGAATTGTTCCCTGTTGAACGAGTTAATGAAGATTTTGATAAATGACCTGAGGGCCTGGACCAGGTTGAGGTCGGAGAACTCGTGCAGCTCCACGAAGGCCTTCAGGGTCTGCAGGTGGAGCTCGTCCCTGTGGGTCAGAGGAGGAGGAGGAGGAGGAGGAGGAGGAGGAGGAGACACATGAAACCACAGGAAAGTTTCACCTTGTTGGAACCTGCCTTTACGATCCTTCCACCTACAACCTTTTTTCCTCCCTTCTCTTCTTCCCTCACCCCCTTGTTCCTCCTTCTATGAGGATCATTCTTCCCTTTGCTTTTTCTTCCTCTCCCACCCTCATCTACTGGATATTTATTCTCCCTCCTCAACGTGTCTCGAATCCTCAGTGTCCTCTTCAATGCTCTTCCCTTTCATCCTGCTCACTCCCTTTTTTCATCCTCTTATTTTATTCCTCTTCACCTACTTGACTTCCCTCCTCCTCCTCTCCGCCCTTCCTCACCTCTCTCCGAGGAATTCTCCAATCGCCGTCTTGTTGAGTCCCTCCTCCTTGTAGAGGAACTCAGCGATGGGCTGAGCACTTCCATCCAGCAGCTTGTTCTCCACCAGGTAACTGATGCCCTGCACGCACACACACACATGTGCACACAAATTAGACTTCATCTGCAGCTTGCATGGGGAAGTTGCAATCTCAATTTATGATGTAGTGCTTCAGAAATAGTCCCCCCCCCTCTGTGCTGCAGTTTCACAATGATCTCATCTCCGGTTGGTAAGAATTAGCGAATTTGCAGCTTTTCAAAATTCCAATTCCCTAAAAGCGATGTCTCTTCCTCTTTCCTCTCTGCCAAAGGAATCTGAGGTGACGAATGAGCATCTACATCATGTATGAAGTTCAGGTAACCTCAGAAACCAACCACAGCTCGGAGTCCACTTCTCTTTCCAGTAAGAGTAAGCAGTGTTGCTTTTTGTTTTGTATTCAAAGTTGCAAACAAAACCACTGAAACTGTGTGAAGGGCCCGTTCAGTGTCATTTCACAGAGCTCCAGTGTGGTCGAGCGAGAGGAAGTCCACACGACGACGAGCGAGAGCTTATCAGGTATAAAACACACTCATCTGCGCTCACCTTCTTCGGGTCCATGTTGAACTTCTTCCTCCCGTTTGAGAACTGTTTGCTCTTCTCTATCGTTTTGCTGCAGAAAAAGCAAAAGAAGAAGGACACATGAGATTTTGAACACAGAAGGTTTTGTTATTTAACGCCCCCTCGCTGATCCTCTATGTATAAATGATATGATGATAAAAGAAGCTGCGACAAGAAATCTATCAATCAGACCGACACTTCATTTGTAAAGGACAAACATGAGCCTCCATCACACAGAGGGACTTGAACTTGAGTTCTGTTACAGTTAGCTTAGCTTAGCAGAAAGAATGGATACTAGGGGAAACAGCTAGCCTGGCTCTGTCCTGAATGCTTTAACAGCTCATTAATTAAAGCATCATTTCATATTTATTTATTATTTTACAGAGTTTATTTGATCTGTATTATTTTTCATTTCTAGAGTTTGATACAGCTCTACTGATCATAGTTCTGTCTTTTATTCTATTCTTTTTAACCCATTATTTTAATTTATGCTAAACTTTGCTTTCAGATTTTGTCTCCCTGTTGTTTTTCTTTAATTTTACTGCACAACATCTTCCTCTGTGAATGAAAGGTGCTTTTTAAATAAAATCACCTCATCTCTAATTTCTCAGTTTTATCTTTACAAAATTGGAGTGTGACATTTTGCTATAAATGAGATTAAAAGAACAAACACTGTATATTCTTGAGTATTTTCTATAAAAAACAAACCGAACATCCCAGGAAGAGGTTTCAGTTATTCAGAAAAGACAAAGAATGAAACTCCTCTATTTAAAAATACACCAGGAGGCAGAGCCTTGTGGTGAGGACATCAGAAACGAATGCCATGTCACGGATGTAAATGGAGGAGTCACTGCGGGTTCTAGATATAAGTGCAGATGTTCAAACAGGTGGAGGGGTTTTCCCGACCAGAACTCACTTTTCCTCTGTGGACTCAAAGCTGAGTATTTCCGCCATCACGTTGTCTATCTCCATCTTCAGCTTCTGGACAGGGAGGAAAAAAGAAAAGACACTTTTTTCCAGTGAAGATAACAAACGATGAATAAACCAAAAGAGCTTTTTTGAAACAACTGGTGATCGACTGTAAATAAAGATGGACAACCTGTCACGTCGTCCATCTTTATTAACAAGCACGGCCATTAACGAAAGACCCACAGTGGCCATATTGGCGTGGACGTTACCTGGATGTCGTCCAGAAGGTCCTTCTTATACGTCTTGATGCCTTCGATCTCCATCTTCTCATCTTCTGTAAAATCTGAGGAAACTGGTGAACAAGAAAAATCGGAAAAAAACCATGAATCAGAAGTGAGCTTTGTTGCACTTCTTCCCCATTTCACACTTACACACGTATTCCACATTTCACAATAAAATTTTTTTTCAGATTTCACAATACCGCGCCACCAATAATGGTGAAACACCCCGAAGAACGAAGACAAACAAAACATTTTCTCCTTACAAATTATAAAACATCGGACACATTAAGCGTAAGACTGTTGTGAAGAACGAGCCACACGGACCTGGAGGAAATGTTTGGTAGTGGTGGATCATGAAGTTATCATTGATGTGTGATAGTCAGAGTTTCATATGAGTTCTCCTTGCTGCTTATTTCCTGGGTCACAAGTGAACCAATGCAATAGCACCTGTCAATCAGAGGTGCCACACTGGTGCCGCATCATTGCCTGAACTGTTCCACATCTGTATGCTCTCTGGGAAACAACTGGACTTTGAAATTTAATCCGTAACTGTCTGACTTACAAAGTCTTAAACTCTTTTCTGGTGCGATATGAGCTGTCTGCTCTGGGTCAGGAACTGACAACGTCACCATAGGTGGGAGTGGTTTTCATATTGAGGCATGGGTGGTGAGGCAGCGTGAATAAAACCTCACAGTCATTATGAGAACAGACTCATCATGCCACCAACGTTGCTTGGACAATCTTTACATCTGGAGAAACCTCTGGGTTCGACATCACTGTTTCCATGTGGTCACTGCGCTGCAGGAGTTTCTATATTTCCTGAACCTGACACTGTCACGGTCTGAGTCACAAATGGAATCACTAAGTCCAGACGTTTGTGACGGAATCAATACTCTGTCCGTCAATTTTAAAAAACTTTACCTCATCACAGTTTATTTATCTGAGTCCTGGAAATGAGGAACTCAAACAAAGACAAACCCAGATGTCGAGGACTGAGTCCAAACACGTCCAGAATTCAACACAAAAAATCTCAGAATCATGAAACTACCAAACTGATTTCCATGAAATCATTTTTCCAAGGGGTCCTGTCTTTAGGTTTGGTCGCTCTGCGATTCTTCCTGTGTGCGCTACTGGCTCTTACAATTAAAAAAGTTATATAATAGTTTGTACTGGAAACATTAGAAAATATTAGCAACTACTCTAAATACTGAACTGATGTTTTTATTTGGATGAGCTTGGAGAAAACACCGAGAAGTCATGACACGCTCAAGCGTCTCTGATTGGCTCTGAAGCTCTGAAGCTCTTCGACAGTGTTGACACCAACATGCAGAGAAAAGTTTGCAGGTTTCAGACGAAGTGAGAAACAAAGTTGTTTCAATGTAAAGTCGATAAAATAGCATCCATCAGCACTTTGTGCAGAGACGTGTGAAGTGTTTGGTTTTAATGCTGCATGGGATCACAGCACCTCCACCTCCTGCACGACGCCCTGATGACACCGGTCGTCAAAACTCCTCATTTCAGTCACTGGTTTAGAAACTGATATTTGACAGTTGGACTTTTAGTCGATCGACCGTGAATAGACGTCAATTTAAAGATGTCAACATCTCTTTTTATCTTATCAGTGATCTGCAGCTCTGTCTCTTCCCTGTTTCAGCTGCGTGTGATCCGTGCATTGTTTAACCACTAGATGCAAATTGTGAGAAGAAGAAAACAAAGAACTGTGCATCAGTAACCGAAATAATTAGGCAGCAGCTGTTGAACTTTATTGTTAATTTCTAGTTTTCTTTCAGCTGTTTCTAAATTATAAAGCAGATGGAAGTTGAGAGGATCATTTTATATGACTCACTGACAGGAGGGATAAATACAAAAGACAACGTAAATCAAACATGGTCATAAAACAACAATCTCTTTCATGAAAAGTATCCAAAATGATTTTTTGAACAGAGATATTTAAAAATAAATAAAAAATACTGACAAATGTTGTTGTGGGAATCTAAAATATATATATATTTTTTATAAAATGCAATAAGGAAAAGACAAGAAGAGGAAATCAGGTCTTACCCATTTGACAATCAGTCATTTATATCCAAGAGAAAAAGAAAAAAGAAAAGTCACAATTCCCAAACAGTGAAATGTGAAGTGAAGGCGAGAGGACGCAGCTCGTAGTTTAGTTTGAAGATGTTCTGTTTCGACTCCACCCCTTCCTCCTCCATCACAACGTAAAGATCACAGCACAAAGCCACAAGTGATGACAAGGAGCTGCCCCTTCAAAATAAAAGTGTTATGAAATGGATTAATCTATGAAGTGAAGCCATCGAGAAGGAACTGGACCGTTTTTCCCCCTCGACACCAGAGTCGGCTGTTTTCTGAGTTGTCTGCTCGTCCGTTCTTTAGATTTAGCCAAAATACTCACTTGGACTCTTCGATGAACTGATTAGAATTTGTCACTGTGACCTCAAACTAGAATGTGTTTGACTTGTGAACGTGATACCCTCAGAACACCTCGAGAGAATCCTTTCAAACTTGGTCATGGTGACTGTGAATTTATGTTTCTGTGAACGCAATATATCTCAAACACCCGGAGGGATTGAATCTGCATCATTGGCGGAGGCTTACAACCACGGGACAGTAGTTCTAGTCCCCTTAATCAATCATCCTGGAGGAGGAGATGTTTAACTCACAGCAGCATGAGAACAAACACAGGAAACTAAATGACTCGGACTTGTCATTTTTAGTTCTGGATTGACCATAAGGTGTTTTTTGTAGACGTGAGATTGAAACACCGTGTGGAAGTGACACAGGGTGTTTGGAAATTTGCTGGGACACTGAAACTCAGTTGCCAAACACAGCACAGGCCAGGAAGTGAGTGTTGAAATCCTGGCATCACGTCACATGGTGAGTTCAACGTCGAGCTCATCGCTCCTGGTTATTGAGACAGAAACGTCACAAACAAACAAAAGATGAACCTTGAACAATTCATCCTGTTACTGCAGATGAGATCGTTTTATTTTGAAGAAGAGATCCTCCTCCCTCTTGTGTTCGTGTGGCGAACTGACTGAGGCGGACTTGACATTTGAAAACGTTTGATTCCAGTAGAAGTGATGTCACAAACACGCTGACATGATAAAAAGCAAAAATTATGCTGAGGCGCCCTCTAGTGGAAGCACAAGGATATCACAGTTATTATGAGTGTGTGTGTTGCTATAGTTTAATTTCCATATTTAAAAATCACACTGACGTGACTTAATGTTTGCAAAATAAAACTTAACAAACTTTATAAATCTGTGTGTGTTTAGTGATGAAGGTATTTATCATTTATCTGTGCTGACTGACATCCCAGCTTCACATCTGTTGTTTTCATTTCATCACTTAACTCAATGAAAATTAAACCTAAACCCCACAAACGATAAATCTCAGATGTGTGGATTCGTGTGTCTGGTCCAGGTATCACTCGTGTCGTGGGGACCTGAATATTTTTACTCACACGCACATTTGTCTTCTTTGTGGGGACAAAAAGTCCCCATTAAGGGGAAGACATGTTTTAGGGTTTAGGTTTGATTTAAATTGGGTTGAAGTTAGGTTTAGGTTGGATGAGGGTTAGCTTAACATTAGGTTTAGATTTAGGTTAGGGTTAGGTTAGGTTAGGTTATGGTGAAGGTTTACGTCATGTTTAGGTTAAGGTTTAGGTGAAGGATAGGTTTATGTTAGGTTAAGGATAGGTTCAGGTTACGTTTTGGTTAAGAATAGGTTTAGGGGTTTTGGTTTAGGTTAAGGACAGGTTTAT